TGTCCCCTGCCTTCGCCCTAAGTCGGCTGGGATAGGCTCCAGCCCCCCCGCGACCCTCGTGAGGATTAAGCGGTGTATAGATAATGGATGGATGGATGTTTGCAATATATCTGCTAAGTGAAAAAAGTGAAAGGCTGAGGAGACAACAGTGAAAATTTTTCTTCTGACCTGGCTTGCGGGATGTTTCTCCTTTTTCTTTGTGCTGGAATTATGCGGTCCTTTCCCTCCTTTGGTTTCTGTTCTGTGCTTCGTCTTCCGCATCTCTAGAAGAACACAATGTATATAATTCACTGGGTTAGTGATACATTGGAAAATCAAAGAAAATCAAAAAGTCACAAAGTATAACTATTACAACTTTTGAGCATACTTTAAGTAATTTATTTTATACTATAGCAACCTTAACGATTCAATTAAACATTCTTGCTACTAACAGTCTGAATAATCACAAAAGCTCTCATAATGCACAATTGTTGCAGGTTTGTGTGACAATTTGTACTAGTCAGTGGTTTGGGGTGCAGTTTTGCTGGTGAACTGGCTTTGAAACCCCAAGCCACATCTTTGGATGTCATGCTGAGAGGCCAAATTAATGTTGGCATATACTTTAGATGAGCTTAACCTATTTATTTCCTATTTACCTTCGTTGTGATTGTTGGGGATGTGGACTAAATCTTCTCGGCTCTTGGCAGGCTGCCAGACTGCAGTATTACAGCCAGGGTTATCTGCCAATGAGGGAGATGGACATTTTAAGTGAAAAGTCAGGGTGAATGGAGGCCACAGTCACAGCAACCTGACTGAAACCACTATCTAAGTCATAGAAAGGCAATCTGGTAGGATACTGGAGGTTGAAAGCCAAATAATAGACAATAAAATAGCAGTTTGCTTCACTGTAGTCTTCCTGAGCATTTATGATACAAGGAAATGCATGGGTGGCAACACAGTGTCTTGGGCATTATGTAAAGTTACATCTAAACACTAATGAAGAACATGTCTTTCCAGCATTAACAATATAAAAAGTCAATTGTTTACACTCACCCAGTGCTTCATTGTCTGATGTAGATTTGGATATATGTGTTCTGAAAGTCAAGATAAGTAAGAAATTTAATATTATGCAGTTTCTTTATTACCCCTGATTAGAGATGACAACACTGATATGACAACATTATAATATAGTTACTGACACTTGTCAAAAGATACAACTAAGGCAAACCAAAATCACAGAAGGCTTAAAATGTCATCAGGAGAAAGTAGACTCATGCTGTGTGTGCATATTCTGCTAAATCTAAGAACTGAGTAACCATCAGTGTGACCACACATATATGTTTCTTCCAAAGTAAAGCCAGGGGAGTAAAGGTGTTGCGGTGACTGAGACCTTGAATCCGCTTAGTCCAACTAGCCCAAAGCCATAATCTGCCTTCTGGTGGCCCAACAGTCGGCAGAGTGCTACTTATCAAAAAACAAAAAAAACATTCTCAACCAATCAAGCAGAATAATATTTAGAAAGCTTTCTGTTCCAATTGTTTCTAATCAGAGGTCAATCCCCCCTCTTCTGAAAGTGCAGCATTCTAATAAAACACAGAAAATGAACTAAAGATAAAGGCGAGGAGAGGAGTACAGCTGAAGAGCCCATTTGTACTGCTGCAGGGAGGATTTATAGATTTACCACCCAGTGAAAATAAACAGTCATATTATTACTCTATGGGAAAGCCCTTTCACTTGCAGGGGAACTTTCTGCTCTGGTTAGCACGCATGTCCAACAAAAGACAAAGAAAGAAAGTTATAGCATACAGAAGATAAACACAAGCCTGATTACCTGATGTGTTTTTGATACAATTTCACTGTATATTTATAGCATAAATAAGAACAGTAGCAGCCATATAAAATAGATTCATCTGAGAGCTACACATTTTTGGTGCATATAGTGCAGTGTTTGTGTGTTTGTGTGTAATTTTTTTGATGAGCTCACCTTCTCTTTTTTTTACGAGTATTGGTTCCCTGCATGTGAGGCATCTCCTATAAGAAACAAAGCATGTACATGCCCAACAATCTGTTTAAGAAGAGGAATTTTTTGAGAAAATTCAATTTCATTCAATAAATCCTGTAGCGATTCCGATATAGCACATCAGGAACATTTCATTTTAATTTGCATAACAAGCTTCAATTAAACATGTGGAAAACTGAGGCAGCTGTCAACTGGCTCTGTTCATCATTTGATAATCAGCTTTTTTTTTTTTGAGGGACAATCTGGGTGGCGGGAGTCTAAAAGTCCCAATTCCTGAGAGACTTGACCTCATACAATCTGGTCATGCTTGTTTCCATGGCTCCATCATTCACAATCTGACCAACATGCATGTGTTATGGCCATGCTTGTACATGCAGAGATTCGCATGACACAGTGCTTGTCCAACCCACCATAGATATGGATCTTCCAGAGCCTCGCCCCTTTGTGTTTTCGTCCAGCAGCACCGCCGGGCTGCAGGAGCGGCTGCATGATCGGCTGGATGAACGACTGGGGATGGGTGGAGGTGGGCCAGCACTGGAGCTCTGCACTGCCTCATACAAGCTGTCCATAGAGCCCTCCTAATGTCAAGTGGACAAACAGTAAAACATACAGCTGTTAGAGGGCAGAAATTTGGCAGCAGGCATGATTTATGAATGGATTTAATCTGTTATGTCAGATTAAGTCAGATTACTACAACCACACACACCAGCTTGAAGGTAAAACCAAGCCTGCATACAGAACCAAAATGTTTGCACGAAACAACATGTAAAGATGCATTTCATGGTAAACAAGGCATTATTATGAGGACTGGATACGACAGTAAAGACATGCCACTAATGCTGCTCCAAAGCTCTTCTAAATTTGCTTGTCAAGCATGGATTGAGAGAAGGACTGAATTTCCTTGGAGCAGATTTCAGTGTGGATTAAAATTTGTTTGGCTTGTTTGGATTCCTTCTAGGAACACATAATCAATTCCACTCCAGCTTGCCTTGTCTGTACAGTATCATCTTGTCATTGTACCAGACAGCTGAATTTTTTTTTTTATATCTGAAGGTGTTTCAGTTGAAGTTTGAACTCTTGGAATGTATTCAAGTGGATCTCACTGTCTTCATTTTCTACAGTTTCCCTGTGGATTTCCTACTCTATTGGCATTTTGGTTGTATTGCCTTTTAACATTGCTTCTATTTCATGTAGTATATTGTAATCACTGGTACAATTTTTTTTAATTGTCATTTTCATAAAAACAGTTTTGTGCATATAATCTTCTCTCTGCAACGCACTTGTAGCGTTCTGCTTTTAGAAAAAATCTTACTCAGGAGTGTGTGCAGAAGTCAGTGTGCACGTGATGCAGAGTAGCAGCAGTTGGGAAGACAATCAATGCAAACACAGTTCAAGCCACTGTTTTCTGCAGCAAGACATTTGTTTATCTTCTTGATTATTAGTCAGCACCCCCCAACGTCTGTTCAAGGTCAAGCTTCAGCATGCAGCCTTTGTGCCCTTGTGCAGCATTACAGCTGCAGCAGCATCTGAGGCACTGCATGTGTGCATGCTGCATGCATGTGTATGTGTGTCTGTCGGATGTCTCAACTCTCATTACTTCACTATCAATATTTTCTTTTATGCCTTCTTTTTCACTTTAGCAGCACCCACCTAAAAAAAATCCTGAAATATACAAAGTAAAGCTAAAATACTCTGATTATCGTAAAACTGTAATATTCCTCCTGGTGGGGCACAGATGAGGTAAATTGATTGAAAGCCCAACAAAGTAGATGAGTTTGGATAACTATTTTAAAATTTTGAGGGAACTGAGATGTGAATTGTACAAAAAGAGTCTTATGATTAAACTGTAGGTTCATGATCTGAATGCCTATAAAGAAGAAGTAACAGTTTGATTTTCACAAGAGTTGCATGTTTAGCTTATTTAGTGGTAATCTATCAAAAAACCTTGTTCATACTTCTTACATATATGTGTACATATATTTCCAAGATTTGCACAGCGTGCTCTGATTCACAGACACTTGGAATATAGTCATTGCAAGCATCACAAGTTTCTCTTTCCTTCAGCAACTCTCACACAGCCTATTATTTACATACAGAAAGCAAAGTGGCATCCCTTACCAGTGAAAAGCAGAAAAGGTTCATGTTGGCCAAGAGGTCTCCTGTTCTCTATGGTGCGTCAGATGGAGGAGAAACAGCGAGCAGAGTGACAGCCAGAGGCTAAGAGACACAACAGCTCAGTGTGAGCCCAGCCCAGGTCGCCTGCTGTCTTCTCAGATTAATACCACAGTGAAATCCCTCTCCACTAATCCAATAGATGGACCACCATTACTCTACCAGCTAAAGCAGAACTCGCTCCTGACAACAAGCCCACCATTGGTGGAGCAAGAGACTGAGTCTTTGTTTTGAATCTTTTCTTTTACTCTTCTTTTGTAAGTGTTGCCCTGCAGCCATGCTCTTTTTGACATCATTTTTCAGTAGAAGTTAAAAGTAACATAAAATGGGACTGCAAGACTATAAAAAAAAATGGGATTAAGTAAAGTACTATAGTAAATGCAGTGTTAACCCCTTTCACTTGACGAAATAGCGTGAAACAATGCACTCATCATCAAAGAATACAGTAATATTGCACATCAAATAAACAGCAGAGCCTGGGCTACAAGAATATATAAGCTATTTTTACATGCCCCAAACACAACTCAACAGCAACTAAATGAAATATCAAATATGGAAATCAATATAGCACCACCCAGTCAACCCACTCGCCAAATTTCTGGCTCTCGCGCTTTGCTTCTGAATGCAAAACGCACAAACAAACCCTCAAGCGAAAGCAGACAGTCCACAGATTTCAAACATATCCATCAAAGCTCTCTAAAATGAAAGCATTAGCGAGAAATAACCCAAAAGAACAGCAAAAACCGAAATCGCTTCATCAAAACATAGTTGTAAAATTTCTCTTACCTTAGCTGTTTTGCCATGAAAGTTGATTTTATCGGTAAATCCACACCGTAATCAGTTAGTACGACTTCCTGTGTTACACTGAAATTATTCCGGGCGTTTTTTGGGATCTTCGTTAGCCCAAGGGAGCCAAGGAGTGGAACGGCTCGTCTTCAAGATGGCGTATTCTATTGGCTCTAACGATTCGAAGGAAGTGTCAATCACTGAAATCGACCAATCTATTATGGTGATACAGCCTTGTGTCACCACAGTAGCGTCACAGCAGTCCGTTCAGCATTATGCAAAGGATGCGTTACACATACAGCGGTCTGGTTGAATTTTCAAAAAACTAAAAAACTGCTGTATTTTGATGTATTGAACCCCATTAGTGATAAATAAGTGAAATATATAGTTTGTACATAAGAAAATTCAGACGGTCACAAGTGTGCAAAAATGTGCCAAAGTGTGCCAAAATGTGACCTCACCTGTACTAAAAACTAGTAAATTTCTTTTTGCTTCACTTTATCAGAGTCAACCTTTGCAGAGAGAATGTTCACACATTGTGCTATGATGTGGGAGAGGTTTAGAGCTGCAGCTGGATCAATCCAAAGAGATTATTATCCTGAAAGTGCTTTTTTTTTCTTCTTCTTCTTCTTTTAGGCGAACCTGAAAATTTTTCATTTATGCTGTGTGTCATCTTCATTTACTCGTAGCCAGTAACATATATACTGATATTTACACATCTGAATAAATCTTACAAGTGTTCCTTTTATTATGACACAAGAATGATTCAAATAGACCTTGTGATTGCAGAGATAAACTGTTGTTTTTATGGGTATGTAATTTTCGAGCCGAGGCCTGAAAAATAGCTCAGGGCTGAACAGATTAACAAATTTATTAGACCACCTGTCATATCACGAGAAAACATAAGTAGTTTAGAAATCTTTCAAAAACTTGTTCAAAACTGAAAAATGCCATTGCTATTTATTTGGCAAATAATAAACTCAAAGTACTAAGCCCTTTTCCACACATAATAACCAAAAAACTTAATATTTTGTATGACCTCCTTTGGCCTTGATAACAGCTTGCATTCTTGCTGGCATTGTTTTTATGTACTTTTCCACAGTCTCTTTTGTTATTGAGTTCCAAAGAGTTTCTAGTTGTTTTCACAGACTTGCTGTAGATGATTCTTTTGTGCAATCAATCTTTGAATGTACTACCACCCAAATTTCTTCAATGGGATTCAAATCCGCACTTTGACTTGGCCAGTCCATCAGTTCCAGTTCTCCAGATTCTTTTTTCTTGCTTGAATAGTCTCTGCACAGCTTTGAAGTATGCTTGGGCTCACTGACACCTATGGAGGTATAACTGTAGCAAAAATATTTGTAAATGTGTATGAAGACCTGTGTGTCTGTATCTCGCTATGTGTATCTATAGTGAGATTTTTCAATGTATAAAAAGATTCGTTGATGTGTAAAAAGTTTTGTAAAAGATTTGTCTATGTGTAATAAGAATTGTACAAAGATATTAATAGATGAAAAGTCTAAGTATTTGGCTACAAGTGCTGAAAGTACAGACAAATCACCAGTTACAAGTCAAGCAGGCCTCACAATTGGCTATTCTTTTCACACATGACTTTTGCTACACTTCTGCCTAGAGATTTGTATCTGTAACTTAGGGTTTATTTGCCCTAAGCTCAGGCTCACAGGCTCCTTCATTCTGGCTGCATGCCGCTCTGCTGCTCTGTACCTCAGTAGTTATACTGCCTGCAAGCCATCAGGTGGCGCTATCCCCCAGAGTCTTTGAGAGCACATGACATTGTCTTGTATATATGAACAAGTTAAATTTGCTGAGTTTGTGGGTCACTGAGCAAAAACTTTCAAGTTAGAAATGAATATCTCAATGCTCACTAGGGTCGCAAAGGGTTTGAGCCTATCCCAGCTGACTTAAGGCAAAGGCAGGTCGTCAGTCTATCACAGGGCTACACTTAGAGACAGACAACCAAGCACACTCACATTCACACCTACGGACAATTTAGAATCATCAGTTAACCTCAACGTGTTTTTGGACTGTGTGTGAGGAAGCTGCACAGAGAGAACATGCAAATCCCACACAGAATGATCCCAATTTCCTCACCGGGATGTGAACCAGCGACCTTCTTGCTGCTAGGCAGCGGTGCTAACCACTGCTCCACCTTTCCAACCACTAAAACAAATTTTTCTGTTCAGGAATATCAAATCAAATCAAGTTTATTGTCATTTTGGTGTACATACATCGTAGTACAGGAAAGATGAGAGAGCGTTTCTTCAGGGTCATTTAATTAGTAAGTTTTGTGGAATACATGTCTGGGATAGGCAAGACACTAAACGTTCACTCTCGCTGTCTTCTGAAGGGGCCGCTGTGTCCATGCAGGTCACCATGTAATAAAACATATCATTTTGACATCTTAATCAAGAATTAATAATGTGCTTTATTACTTTTTCCATTTTTTTGTGAAACAGTAAATGTGAACATTCATGGATAACAATAATAATTATACCTTAGCGTTAAAAATATAATTTCAGTTAAAGAACTTCTACATACTATTAAACATTACAGAAACATAAAAAAATATTTTGAAAATTAACAATGCTTTTAATTTAGGGCATATGTGACAGAAACCTTACATTGAGTGGTGGTCTAATACATTTGTTAAGCACTGTACACCTAGAGCCACTTCAGCTATAAGAGTAAAATAACGACAAGGAGGCTTGTAATATGTGACAAAAATCACCTACAACAACCATGCCTTCATGCTGTTCTCATTTCAACATAAAAACACACAGAGCACAGTGCACAGCAATTCTCACATTCTCTCTTTCCTGTGTGGGCAGAAGATATGCCCTGTAATGTGGTTCTGTACAACTACTGACTTCTTTTTCTGAATACTGATGGAAAATTGTCACATATTCTGGTTTGGGGGAAACACCGAGATACAAAAAAAAAAGATTTTTAGATCTGAAGACATATTGCTTGTAGTCATTGGATCACTCTGTGTATCTGGTGTAGACCTTCCATGTGCAATATGTGTGCATTAACTTGTGACACATCAAGTGTGAAGGTGGTGTTCTGTTAATCCACCAATCATCCACCTCTGATGTCTGAGCGGCTCGAATAGAAGAAACAGCTGGAGAGATTTACACATGTGAACCATATTTTCATCTGACATGACAGGGAGCATCCCACTACAAGAGGAGTAATGTTGAAAAGTACTTTGTATCCGTCCAGCTCAGTCAGTTCATTGTTGTCTTCTGATGTGTTTGCGATCTGGTTGAAATGTTGATGTGTTATTTGGGCAACATAATTATGGCTTTAAATGTGAGTGAACAATATAATTATTTATTTATTGCCATCAACCCACTTGCCTGAAAGAGTATCCTCAAAATGAAATGAATAAAAGTATGTTGATTCTGGGAACAGCCTGTCAGGAACTGTGCATGCCTGGCAGTAACAGGGTGTGACATGGCCAATCTGAATGCAAGGTACAGTAATGAATGCTGCCAGGCAGGAGGCCCACATCAGCCACAGGTGTGAGTAGCAGCTTTGTACATGTGGGTGAATTTTATGTCTGTTTAAAAACAAATTGCATTAAGGATCCTGCGTTCTTTTACCATCAAGACAACAGAGATATTGATGAACGTGAAATACCTACACAAGCTGGACTGCTGTTATTTCATCACATGAGCTTTTACAATCACATCCTCCTCTGCAGGCAGCTAGTGGACAAGATAAAACTACAGAGGAGACCCACTCATTAAAATATTGCATTCTAGTTTCATGAACAGTCCAGAATATTCTATGGTACCTTTAAAATCAGCTGAAATCAGAGGGAACATTTAATTCAATTTGACCTCCCTCAAAATAAAACCAGAAATCAGCATACACTGTAAAAAAAAAACAAAAAAAAACTTAAGAATAATTTTTTTTAAAAAAACAATTTACGTATTATTCATTACGTTAAAAGATTTTCCTTGTTTGTAAAATTACAAAAAACTAGTAAAAACACAGAAAAAGTATAATTTTACATGTTAACAATGTAAAAATACATTTTTTACTGTATTACTAATAAGAAAGCATATGATTTTATGGATATTTGCCATTACTTGAAAAAAAGTACATCAAGGACAAATAATGGTAAATATTGTTAAATTACAGATAATCCTGAAGAAAAGTCTTAATTTACATGTTGACCTGTAAAATTTAATTAATTCATCAAATAAAAGTCAAAACAAGACAACACTGTAAATGATGTCCACATCAAAAATCAGTATTTCTACAAACATGAATTTTTATCTTTTACAACTTTTGTAACTGTAAAATCACATTGTCTTATTTTATTGAAACTGGTTAAAAAATATGTTTTTATAAATTTAAAAAGTCATAATTTTACAGCTAATTGCCATTATTTTTAACTTGTTTTCCTTTTACAGTTTTTGGATGTTACAGTATTCCATGGCTTTTTAAAAAAAAAAATTTTTTTTTACAGTGTGCATGAGCTATGCAGTTATTGAAAGACACCGGCTTTGTTTCCCCCTGCCCTGCATGCAACAAAAGACAGCTGACAGCCTTAAATTGACTAAATCTATTTCTTTATTTGTTTTTCTTTGAATGATTTTACAACAGATGACTGTGCGAGTCCAACTTTACATATCAATAGTGGCAGGCAATGACCCACATAGCTGTAGGCTGCTGCAGTGACCCAGTAAGTGACATCAGGAAGGGATTACATTTGTGTGTGTGTGTGTGTGTGTGTGTGTGTGTGTGTGTGTGTGTGTGTGTGTGTGTGTGTGTGTGTGTGTGTGTGTGTGTGTGTGTGGTTGCCCTGCTCATACAAGTATAAATGAAATGTGAAATAACAACGTGTTATCATTATCTGAAAATGTGATGAGTTTGTTTGATGGCCANGCAGCCCCCCCCGGCCGCCACCCAGTCCTCTTTGCACCCGACCCCTATGATTCCCTCTGCGGGTGGTGGGTCCGCAGGAGGGCGGGCCCACGTCAGCTTTTCGGGCTGTGCCCGGCCGGGCCCCGTGGGCAGAGGCCCGACCACCAGGCGCTTGCGTTCGAGCCCCAACCCCAGGATAATATAATATAATATAATATAATCACTGTTCCATCATGAAAGCACGTATCAGACAATAAGCAAATCTGAGGATTCCTTTGAATTAATTTATTGCCTAATGTATACTTGTGGCATATCTGACATTTTTTTACTTTCAGCTGCAACCCTGGCAGTGTAAAAAGGGTGTGGGAGCAAATTAATAACAAACATAAAATCATAATTCAGAACGGTATGATTTTTCACCTGGCTCACTGGACCAGCAGCCACCAAGTCAACAAGTAGCGGACGCTCCATTGTTTAATTGGTTGCAGACCTGATGTCCTCCGTGAGCTGAAGAGAAGGAGAAGAGGCTGCCACTCAGGGATAATGTGCCGGAATAAGAAGAGGCGCTTCAAGCCCACCATCATCACCAGGAATATGGGCTCCATCTTGAACAAGACGGACGAGGCAACACGGCACCAGAGGTCATATTGGGAATGTAGACTGATGGTGTTCTGTGAGACTTGATTATCGGAGCTAACAGTGGATTCCAATGTTGCACTGGACAGGTTTCAACTGATAAGGGCAGACAGGACACGGGAGACTGGTAAGAGGAAAGGAAGGGGGCTTGCTGTGTTTGTAAACAATAGATATTGTAACCTTGGGCACATCACTATCAAGGAAAAACTATGCAGTAGAGACACTGAACTGCTAGCCATTAGCATGCAACCGTATTATCTACCAGGGCAGCTCTTGCAGGTCACTTCACTTCGTAACGTATTTCCTCCCCTCTGCTAACGCTGACTCAGCCTGTGATGTCCTCCACTCGGCTGTAAGCAGGCTGTAAACACAGCATCCATGAGCCCCCCTCTTAATTGCCCAGGGACTTCAACCAAGCCTCTCCTTCCTCGATGTTGCCAGTATTCAGCCAGTATGCCACACCAGAGGAAATAAAACTCTGGGCTTGTTTTATGCCAACATTAAGGAGGCATACACATCATCACCACTGCTTCACCTGGGAAGATCTGATCATGACCTTGTGCATCTTCTCCCCGTGTACAAGCCTCTAGTACACAGATTCTGGTAGATTAATCGTAGCAACTGGACTTGCTTGAGTTCCTTGAAGACGTTTCACCTCTCACCCACGAGGCTTCATCAGTTCTGACTGACTTGTTGGGAGTTCCAGATACTTTTATCCTAAGGATCCATTAACAGCTGAGTTTCAATTGAGGGTTGTTGCTCCTCCCCCTCGTTATGTGAGTCGTTAGTGCTCCCCCTGCCACAAAGGGGTTCATTAAGGTCTTTTGTAGCGAGGTGTGAATGCGGTTTCATCTTCCTGGGGAGAGATCTTAGGACTGAATTGTAAACAGGTGAGAGATGATGCTCAGACCCTCACCTCTGTTGAGGGATGGTCTTTCCAGTTTGACATAGATGGCTTCTTTCACTCCTCTCTCAAACCATCTGTCCTCCCTAGCTTTGACATTGCCAGTTGCCAACAGGAAAAAAAATGACAAGAATGGCGACCTGTCCAGGGTGTCCCCTGCCTTTGTCCTAAGTCAGCTGGGATAGGCTCCAGCTCCCCCCTCCGAGACCCTAGTGAGGATTAAGTGGTGTACAGATAATGGATGGATGGATAATTAAACCAGTATAATAAGGCAGAAGGTAGACCTGCTGAAAGATTTAGTGAGGTCTCTTATTTCATTCTGTGCATTACCAGCATCTCTTTCAGTCAGTGCCTGGCATTTTGCTTGAATCCTTTGAACAGTGAAATTTCTCCAACTGCATAAAATCCAAGGTAGTATTCTTCTGGAGGAACATTAAACCCCGATTCATTATCAGAAAAATGTGTGGGCAGCTATAACTAAGCATGTAGAATTTGTTGTTTGAAGCATTCAGTATGTGTGACATTAGAACATTACACATATCCCTGGATGTAAATATTCTAATTTAAATAAATAATAAACAATTTGCATCAAGAGACACTTTGATTTGAACAAAGCTTTAATACAACAATATTTACATTTATACATAATAGGGATGGACTGATACCTCTCTTTGATTTCCGATACCGATACCAATACTTCAACTTTGAGTATCTGCCAATACCGATACCATCTCTCCTCCTAAACTTCTTTGGAAATACCTTATTTGCATGGATACATTTGTTTAAGATGGCTTTATCAAAAGCCTCATACTATTAAAGCATAGACTTTGCTTTTCTAAGAAAGGAAAAAATAGCCAAAAGCATGTCTCAAAGTGAAACNTGTGTGTGTGTGTGTGTGTGTGTGTGTGTGTGTGTGTGTGTGTGTGTGTGTGTGTGTGTGTGTGGTTGCCCTGCTTCCAGCACACATTTACTAAAAGAACAAAAAAAATAAAAAAAATAAAATGACTGTGACTACTAGTGAGCTGTACAGTTTAAGATGGGTGATGAAAAATTTTCAGGCAAAACTAGCATATTTCAGTGAAAACAAAATCAAAGAGAAAATTGTTGCAGTAAATTATAAAGAACTGACAAATCACCTTGCAGTATGTTCAGACTGATCTAATTCATTGTATTCATTCAGTAATAACTGATCAGAAAGTGAAAGAAAAAGCAGAGAGGTGCCTCAGTTTTAGCACAGGTCCTCATCGCAGCAGATTGTGAAATCGTCATCAACACATGAGTTCTCACAAGTTCGAGAAAATTCATCCCCTGTTGAAAAAAACACAACAAATGCAACAATGTGCAATGACTGAATCATTCTTGTGTTACTGTAATATTATGACTTTTCCAACACATGAACACACAGATGAAATTATAGTTATAAGAGCAAACAACATGAATGCAGCAGAACAGGTCCTACCATGCACAATGGTTTTGCAGTACTGGGATGATGACGGGCAGTCTGTCTCTGTCTTACAGTCCAGGTCACCATCACAGGTGTAACATTTGAGTGTAAGCACTTATAAGAAGACAAAATCCATCCAAACTGAGTCAGAGTTTTCATGTACCCCAACATTATTCCCACCCACATCAAGGAAATAGCTCAAATCAAATATCGCCTTCAGGGTAAAAGATTGCTATAAACATAAATATGTTTTTAACTCATTTTGACTTTTGTTTTAAAACCAAGGCAAAGAAAAAATAATATAAAGTAGCATTCTCCTACCTTGAGTGCTACACAGCAGGAGCAGGAGCATAAGAAGCAGAACCTTCATGTTGTCAGATGGTATGTGGATAAACCTCTTGCTCTGGCAGTTTTATACTGGCGTGCCACATACCAAACTCAGTCATGTACTTCCTTGTCATAGATTTTCCAGTAAATGCTGGTCTCATTTTTAACTCTATTGTCTCAAAGAAAACATGAAAAGAAAGTAAACAGAGTTTTACAGATCAAATCAGTATTGTGTTGCAGATTGCAGGAAGATTGGCTAAAGTTACATTTAACCCTCTCCTGTAGATTGTCACTGATCAACTTTGAATATCTGAGAGTGGCTTTGAGATTCGCTCTGAGCTACAGACAGGTGAGACAGGAAAAACCTGAACTTTCAACCCTGTATACTGTGGGGGCATGCTGTCATGAACTGGGTTCACTTAGAGAGAACAGGCATAGAGATTACCTTCATCCCTTGATGAAACAGTTCTATCCTGATGGGAGTGGCCTCTACCAGGATGACAGTGCCTCCATTCATAGAGCATGAGGGGCCACTGAATAATGTGATGAAAAAGATGTGAACTATATGCTATTGGCTTCACAGTCACAGGATCTCAACCCAACGTCAGATTTTAGACTAACATGTTAGACAGCATTTTTCCCCACCATCATAAAAACACCAGAAGTAGTAATTATCTTGGGGAAGAATGTGTTCAACCCTTTAGAAGATCTCAAGAGGCTTGTGGCATCAATGCCGAGGTGCACGAAAGCTGCTGTGACGCCACTTGATGGCAAAACACCTCACTAAGTCTCTTTATGTTTGGTCTTCCGTTAATTTAACCCGTCTGTAGCTATTATATCAGATTGTATAGAAGACCACTTCAAAAGTTTCAGTAAGTAATTCTGTATATTTCTGTTCTTTGGCTTCTTTGCAGAAGCTCTGGGGGCTTAAACATACTCTTTCATATCCAACCATCCAACCAGAGGGACACAATCTTTCCAACAACAAGACAACAATACTTATAACATATAACACTTACATTAAAAATGTCCTTGTTGGCTCAGGAAACTCACCTAGAGGAAATGTCATACTGATGAGATGGAAGAGTGGGTCAGTCTGCCATTGTTCAGAAGCTGTGCTGCTTGTTTCCAGACTTTTTAAAGCAGTAGTCCTGTGTACAACACAACAAAATACTCAGCTATACCCGAATCATACAAACTTTTCCTAATAAAACATGTACAAACAGACTCCAATTCTAGGAGTCTGTTTGTACAGAACTTCTTTGTCGTATGTACTTAAAGAGGGGTGGCTATGCTGCTTAAATACATCTGTATGGAAACAACAACTGTACAGAAATAGTTCTGCAAAACGTTCTGCAAGGAAAATAGTAGCAAGTGAATGTAACTGTAGCTCTATGAGAATGTGTGTGGTTCTCTAACAGCCACATCTTGGCTCTGCTCCTGTATACTGAGAACATTACTGTAAATGTTTGCTCTTGTGGTGCCGTTTGAAATTAGAGAAAGAGAAAATCACCACATAGCATCTGTGGTTCGATCCCACAAAGGCAAAAATAGCAGATAATTCATTATTTTCAGCCAAATTAAAAGCTGGATAGTACTCAAACTCATAACCTTTTAAACAGTAGCCCAGACCAAAATAACAAGACAGAAAAAAGGATTTAAAATAACATCTAATTTGCGAAATAAAACACTAAAGAAAAACAAAGTCAAACAGGAAGGTAACTTGTCAAACTGATCAATTTTTAAAATAAAATACATACGAAAAACTGAAAAATTAAGACCAGTAATGCTGGGACCCCGCCCCAGGCACTGCATTTGCTCTTTCTTTCTTTCTCTTCATCTCCATCTCTTTATTTCTCTCTCTCGCTGTCTCTCTCTTTGCCCCTCTCCAGGCAACACTCTTAATTATTGCAGGAATTGAAGATGTGTCCGATCACTTCACTCCATAAAATCCAGCACAGCCCCCGACTCTCCACCAGATTGTCGACTTTGATTCCACAGTCAGTCTGTCAGGCCAAACTTGTATCCTAGCTGTTGCCTTGTTACAAATTGTAATTCTGTTTTGCTCTACTTGTAGTGTTCAGTTGGTCTCCGACCTGTCTCCTGCCTGCCTGTCCACTCCAAGCCACTACCGCCTGACTGCCACGCATCGGCAGTACGCATGCCATCTTGGATCCTCCGGCTCAACCCAAGTCCATTGGACCTCGCAGCTGCTGGCCTCTCTCCCAATAGCATGTGTCTGCAGACCCGGAGGCACACCCTTTTCCTGCTAGCCGCATCCCAGCAACACGATTCACCATCCCAATCCCGCCCACAGTCTGTTTGTGCCCGCCGCCGACTCCACTCCGGCGATTCCCAGCCTTCAGCCATTTTCAGCAATTTTCGGGTGTCCCTGACGAGAGATAGCAATCATGAGAGAATCGTGGCGATATCTTTGGTCTTGGCTCTAAATCAGTGGTCCTACGTCACACTGCGAGACAGGTTCAAAGACAGCTGTTGTCTTGGTCTTGGGGCCAAAGACAACCTGCGATAAATTCTGACAGTGTCAGAAATTTGGGCTGATCATCTCACAGTGTGACTGCTGCTGGACCTAAGTCAACTAACTAACCAATAGAAATGCAGTGTGAAATAATGTATTGATCAGCGCAACACTAGGTCCCTTTGCAAAATTGGCCTCTCTTTCCGAGCCACGACTGCATCCATATTCTCCTCCTCTTCCTTTTTTTGGGATTTCTTTCCAAACACATAAATGCCACAATGGTGAGGGCTCCGTTCATGCTTCGCTATAGTTTATTTTTCGTGGATGGATGGCACACGCTTATGACATTTTATTCTTGTGCATTCACGGCAACTTATGTACATTGTTATTATGTACATAGGCTGCGATTCAGCTTGCATTTTCATCATGCAGTCAACACATAGCATAGTGCAATCTGCACACAGCAAACTTCATGTTGTGCCCAAAGTTCATGCCATACAGTGTAGCTAGCTGTGAACTTATAAGATTGGTAAAATCGCAGTTTGTAGCCGGCCTTCGTCTGTTCTGGTTTGTCTCCCCAATCCCCGACCCATGGTTTAGTTTCCAGTAGTTTAGTTTTCGTTTAGTTTTGTGAGTATCCCCAATTTGTTACCTTAGGTTTGTGGTCTGATATTAGTTTTCCATAGGTTTTCCCTCTGTTTCTATAGAGTTTACCTTTTAGTTTTTCTAGTTTTGCCTGTTTTTTGAATGAGGTTGGGTTACGCCCTGTGAAGGTCTCCCTGGAGCTTAGTGTCCCTATTCTGATTTGGTTTGTTTCTGTTATTAAATGATCCTTAACAACCTTATTGGTCTCTGCTTGCTGTGGTGTCCGCACACGGGTCCAAGTCTCCGTTGTGACAACAAAGAGCAACCAAAAACCATTGAACCCAGAACATTTGGAATTTTTCTTGATATTAATGTAGGAGGAACATTTTATTCCAGTAGAAAAGTTATTCCAAAGTTTGGGAGCTGCTACTGCAAAGACTCAGGGTCCCCGTATCCACCAGCCCCTACTGTGGAACAGTTAAAAAGCAACTATTACAATCTAAGAGGCCTGGAGGTAAAGTAGAGACAGAGAGGTTGTGCCAACCCGTGTATGGCTTTATAAACGAATATTAAAAACAAAAAAAAGAGTGCAGAAATTCCAACATAAGTGTGGTGATTGCTATACTTTTAGTACCAGTTAGGAATCTTGAGGATACCTGGGGGGAGGAGTAGTGGGAGGAGCCCTAGAGGAGGACAACAGCTGGGAGCCTTTGCAGCATCACTCTCAGGCTGTCACTCCAGTGGGGTTATAAACCAGAGGCCTATACTACAAAGTGTAGGGTTTTAGTGTTGGAAAATAAGATGTACTTATTTTCACACTAAAGCAAATGATTGCGTGAATCAAAATTATTAATACCAACCTTTGAATTATTCATCCAGCGCCATAATTTCAGAGTCAGCAGAATAATTCTAATAAATTGTTACTCTTGGTGCTCAGTCAAGAGTGTTTTACAAAGTTAAGGGAATTAACTTAGAGCTTAGGTAACTAAAGATCACATACGTAAAGTGACTGGATGTAAGCCATAGAAAACACAGGAAACAACTGTATACACACACACAGCATTTATTACTAACTAAACAAACAAACAAATAACAACAACAAACATAAAATACAAAATATAAACAATGATGAAAATGCTGGTTGAGAATATGAATGTGAAAACCTGATGTGGGACAGAGTGGTGGCTTGGAGACTTAAAAGTCTTTTCACCCGAAGCAGCAGATAATCTGTTAAATTTGGA